CTGGCATCGCCAGATGTACAGCAAGAAGAGCGAAATGTGGTCTCTTGGCGTCGTGTTGTACGAGGTTATGGCGCTGCGGCGTCCCTTTGGAGGGAGTAATATGGATGAGCTCATCAACAACATCTGCAGTGCGAACCGCCGGCCCCTGCCGAATTACCTTTCCGAGGAGCTGGTCGGGGTGTGCGATCAGTTGCTCTTGGTGGACCCCGAGAAGCGCCCCTCGCTGCGCGCCCTCTTCCAACAGCCCTTCATCGCCAAGAATTTGAAAACTCTTCAACACAGTGTAGAGCGGCATAACCGCATCTCGGAGCAGATCCGCGCGGAGATTTCGCAGTGCATTACAAACATCCTTAGCTGTGAAAAGCAGAGTGGCGAGGTGGTCAAGGCGTGCCCGCGCAAGGGGATCGTCAAGCGCCATACAGCGGGCTCCGGGTGGCAGGACTGCGAGCTGGAGCTCACCGACGAGGAGATCACGATGCGGCACCTCGACAATGGCAAGACAGAAACCGCGCCGTTATCCGCTCTGACATCGGTCTGCCCAATTGATGAACCGATCGCGGGAGAGCGCTTCGTCTTCGCGGTGAGAAAGCACTCCGGGAAGGCATATTGGTTTAAGGTCGGCGATAAGGCGACGTTTGAGGCGTGGATGACTGCTCTTCAGGCCGCGGTTACGTAAAGCGAGTCGTCACGAACACGAACACGAGCGCCACGTCGCGTCGTGTGCTTGGAAGAGAAGGAATGGAAGCCGAACGTTGGAGGGTGTTAATTGAAGGCGAAAAGGTGCGTGTCGATCTGTGAAAGCGCTTTCCACCAACGTGGAATTCTTTTTTTTTTAGGAAAGAACTCGCACGGTCATGGAGCGATGACACGGCCAATTGCCGCATGCCTCGGTTTCTCCCTTCATTTTGGCTTTCTCGGTGTCTGTGGGGTTTCCGAGGGTGGGTAGCAAGCTCGAGTTTTTTTCTCATGTGTGGGTACACACATGCGGATGACTCGTTTCGATATCCCTTTCATCTATAAACCCCCACTGCCAAGTTGCTTAGTAATGACATGCCCTTGACTTAAGCGATTATTCGGGCATTTTTAATCGCACTAATTACGGAAATAATAATAGTTATTGGTGTCTATTGTGTGAGAAAGTAGTGCAATATACCTATATATCGCTGATTGGAGCACAAATAGCGAGAGAAGTATAAAGGTCAAAAAGATATAGTGAGTTGATGTTGATGGTTTGAACTTTGTTTATTGCATTTTGTGTGTTTTGTGTCGTGCAGCTCGCTCTTCTTGTACATTTGGCTCTTGTGTTGATTGCTGTGTCAGTAGCGATAAATGATGTTTTACAGGGAAATGTGAATGGATTGATGAAAATATGACAAATGACCTTTGCACTTCTTATAGTACACTGTGATGTAACACACTGCACAGAATCAATTCAAGTGTATGCGTACCTTCATTACTTTTTTCACATTGGTGGTTTTTCCAAAGGAATCTAACTTTTTCTCGTCTATGAAGACTTTTTAAATATTCTTTTTATTGCGTGCTTCTTTTTCACAATGAATCTTGGCGATGCATACGATATTACGAGTTCTCTATAGATTTTCTAGCCCTATTTGATTCAAATTCGGTAAGTATGTGATGCCGTGTATTATCGTATCGCGTGGGATTCGTTATTCTTATTTTTTAATTTTTTTAAAAGACACCTTTTCTTTTTTTATCGCAGGTTTATTCCATCCCCAAAGAGTTTCCTCTTTTTCACCGTTTTTTTTATCCGTTCACGTATGTATGAATCATCCAGAATTCAAACTGATGCTTTCAAATACTGAAACGCACATCCGCACAAGACCACCTGTTTAAATAACAAGGTCTTTTTTCAATAATGCTAAGGGATCACGTGATTCCAAACTTTTTTTTGCTATTTAAATAATAAAATATTTATTCATGTATACTAAGAAGTCTACGTTGCATTTCACTTTTGAGGAAAGAAAACAGAGCCCATCCTTCAGGCCTTTTTAGCGTAGACGCCACATGTGATGAGGCCTTGATGCATATTTGTAATAGTTCTGTTTATTTTTATTGTTTTCTTTTCTTATGCTTCATGTGTTGGTTGCTCTCTATGTTGTCTTGTCCATAGACATTAGGAGTTGTTGCGTGTCTGATGAGATACTGATACGTTTTTTTTCCCTCCTTTATACCCAATACCCATCCTTTGGTGTTAAGCTTCCATATGATCTCAAGTACCTATTCATTGGAAGGGATCAAGAACGCAATTAAAACAATCCAATGAAGAGATCGAGTCCCTAGACAATGAGAATAGCCCTACTATGCGGTCTGCCCCTTGGTTTAGCTTGATGTGAATTAGAGGTGTGAATCTCTCCGCTGATGTTTCCCTTTGTATCTTTTTAATAGGGTTGCGAGTGAGGGCAAGAAGCAAGCAAGCCATTTGTCTCGCAGTGAGGGGCCTCTACGTGAAGCGCAGTGAAGTTGGTTTCTTTTATGCAACTGGTATCCTTATCGGTATCGATAGATTCCGCCTCTCCCTCCATGCCCTAGTGGAAGCTCTCTTTCCCACCTGACCATAGCGCTAGACCTTTGACAATGAAGCGTAATGTGCCTGGGTCCGTAATGTGGAAGGAGGCGATGAAATGGAAATCTAGATGCGCGATGTTTTAGCGGCAAAGAGGAGAGGAGGGGCCCTGAGTTGATTTAAGACTATGATACGTCAGCAGAGATGTAAATGCATGTATAGGCAAGTAAGCAATTAGGGGGTTCTTCCTCACGTTCAAGGGTAAGGCGATTTTTTTCTTAGAAGCCGCGTGAACTTTCTCTGACGTTTTTTCGTTAGGGTGGTTTGAACTCGAGCGCGATGAGGTTTCCACGAAACTATACCCACCTTCGTTGGATGCGATGAACTTTTCATGGAATGTAGTTAAGGTAAACAGCTAAGTGAAGCAGAAGGCCTGAATATAAGCAGCGCACAAAGCATCCGTTCACGATGGATGCCATATGACTTATCCACCACGAGATAGTGAATGCCCCTGCATGGGTTTTCAAGAGGAACGGTCCGAATCCGCACTGGGGCTCGGTCTTATTGTGGTTCAACCCAAGGGCTTCCGTGTGGATGTGCTGGGACTCACACCCTTATGGAACTGTTGGCCGTGCTCTGCTGGGGCCCACACGTGGCAGAGGGGCTTGGTTGCGTCTGTGTGGACTGCTGCCGCTGGTACCTCTCCTAGGCCACCCTCACTTGATTCCTCTTGCAGGAACACCGGTTCCTCAACACCACAGCGATCGACACCGGGTTCATTCTGCAGGGCGAGAAGGCACGCTGCAAGACCACGAAGGAGAGAGGAGGGTGCATTGACAGTATCTACTGCGTAGGCTCGCAGACCTGGCCCTTTCCGAACTTAGTGATGCTGTGCTACTATACGATCCTAAGAGAATTCGATCGGTAAAAGGGTTTAGTGATAGAAGCTGGCGAGCTCTAGGAGGTGGAGTGAGTCAGCACGAAGTATGCGGGCCAGGTGCTTGCGGGAAACACTCTTTCCATTGTACGCAGGGCATCCCGGAGAGCGGGATGCCGAATGCTAATGCTTTGGGTCAAGGGCACGGCACGTGGCAAAGATGAGATCGTAGAAAACCCACACACCAGTTTGTGACTTGATGCCATATCACCGACCTAATATATAAAAGGGTCTAATAATTTTGTGCGATGTGCATTCGAAACTTTCCGACTTTCATATTCACACACACGGAAAAATCATTCGATAAAACAACTATTCGGTCAATAACGATCGATCTAATTGGGTGTATTGAACCCCTTTGCTTCGTAATGGTGATGTGGTGTGTAGAATGCAATCTATGCTGTTCTCTCTTTTTCACAATAAGGATGTTCGTATTCCTTCTTTTTATACCGGCCTTCACGTTATCTATCTTTCCATTCTATGTCTATAGTAATCCAGATTACTTCATAAATTACCATTTATATATCAATACTACTCAATATTCTAGCTAAAAAATATTAGGTTGGGTAACAACAATAGAAACCACAACCAAATCCTGTCACTTAAACTTGATAAAATGCTTAAAACGCCTTTAATCTCAAATGCTTTCGTCATGCTGCGCATGAAATGGAGCATGATGATAACTCGAATAAAAGTAAACAAAGAGGAATCAGACTTGCTATTTTGTTATGATATCCTTAAGTCTGTTTCACGCTCCTTTGCACTAGTGATTGCGCAATTGACAGATTCTGCATTGCGGAATAGTATCTGCATCTTCTACCTCACCCTGCGTGCATTGGACACGATCGAGGATGACATGAGCGTGCCCATGGACGTGAAGTTGGAGGAGCTGAGGAAGTTCAGCAGTCATCTGGAGGATCCGGAGTGGAGATTGACCGACGTTGGTGAAGGTCGCGAGCGTGAGTTGCTAGAGCAATTCCCTTGTGTGGTGCGAGAATATCGAAGGCTCTCGAAGGAATATCAGTCCGTCATCTCCGACACGTGCGAACGGATGGCAGAGGGCATGTGCGAATTCCTGCAGCGCCCAGTGGACACGCTGGAGGACTATGATCTCTACTGCCACTACGTCGCCGGGCTGGTAGGGCATGGCCTCACCCGACTGTTCGCGAGCACCGTTTTTGAGGGTCCACGCCCGGCTGAGGACCTCACCAACGCCAACCACATGGGTCTCTTTCTCCAAAAAACGAATATTATCCGGGATTACTACGAGGACATTCTCGAGGAGCCGCCACGGATGTTTTGGCCGGAATCCATTTGGAGTTGTTACGTGAAGGAGCTGAAGGATCTGCGGCGGGCCGACGCTACAGCCTTGCAATGCTTGGATAGGATGGTCGCCGATGCCCTGCGGCATATACCGTATGTTATCGATTACGTGGTATCCCTCAAGGATCTCTCCGTATTCCGCTTCTGTGCTATCCCACAGCTGATGGCCATCGCCACGCTCTCCAAAGTCTACCACAACGCCGACACTTTTAAAACCAAAGTTAAGATATCGCGGCCTGAGTCCTGTCGGATTATGGTCGATTGCAGCAGCGTTTATGATTTCACGTACATATTCAGCGAGTATTGCGAGAACTTTCTGAGTAGGTTGGAGGATGGTGACCCCAGCACACCGCGAATCCGTGAAATTCTGACGGAAGTTATAGGCTCACTGGAAGAGTATAAGCAACAGTATCTACCGACGCCGTACTCACGTAGTATCATCACCCGTTACCCAGGTCTCGGTGGAGACTTTTTGCTCCGTACGCTCGACACCATCATGAGCTTTTTTGGCGCCTCATCAACCTCTCGCATAGGAAGAACTTCTCATCCATTGCTTTGAGTGCAAACGATGATAGATATAGATCCACATATCTCTTTGAAGTTCCCCATTGACAATAAGTGGAATAATTAAGTATATGAAATTAATTTTAAATATTGTGTTTATTCAATTTTTTTTTGTTTAGTTTTCAACTTGGTTTTTCTTCTTAAGGTTCATCTCCTTGTTTAACGCAGGTTGACTAAATGGAAAGCTATTAGGAAGGTATCTGCATGAATTGTTGAAGAAGATGAACAGAAATTATTTAGGAAAAAGATTTCTGGGCTCAGGAGTATAGTACTGTCTTCCTCTTTTAAACTTTATAAATTTAACAGCCCACTAAAGACTTCTCGAGCCGTCTATTTTTATTTATGCATATCTATGTATATATACGTATGTTTGCTTATTTATTTTAAAAAGTATCTATATCAGAGTAGCATTTGTTGCATAGTTTTGTTGGTGTGTAGAATGTGTCTAAGTAATTTTGATTTCGCAGAAAAATGTTTTCATAGCAATGTTTTTTACGTACTTTGTTTTCCGTCGTTGTTATAAACCTCTTTTAAATTCTGAAGTGTGCAAGACCTGTAAATAGGATACACATTTGCGATGAGATCATGTACCATTCCTTTTTTCTAATCTTTATTTCGTCATCCTAATCAAGTTTATTCAAACAAAAGTTGTAAATACCCTCCCCGTCCAAAATAAAGGACATGTATCGTGCTGTGGATATACGCAGCCTCAGAAATGAGTGAGGTCGAATAAACGCGTTGGGTGGGCAATGCCGGTTGGTGCTTCTGGTCGTGAAGGATGGGAAGCCAATTTTTCATGTCGACGTGAAGCGCAGTGGAGAATCCCACTGCAACCGCGTCCTGTCGCCTTCATCCCATTACGTTTGGGCGGAGGTTTTCATTCACGACTTTAAATATTTCTGTAATAAGGCCAATATCCCGTATCTCGCTATAGAGTACGGGAAACTTATCCGTAGAATTCTTAGGAGAGTCTCCGATCACCTGCTTGAGGATCTGCCGCCCATGATCGCCATCACTTCATTCTCTGCCGCGCAATCTCCTGACCTCTGTTCGGCCCTCCTATGCTCTTTAATTGATAAGGGGGAAGAGGAGGGGCCTCTCGGAAACGGCGGCTGTCGTACCGTCTGCCCTCGCTCATTCAGACGAGATGAGTTGATTGAAACCTCCCCCGAGTTAGGCGTCCGAACTAACGAAAAGCATGCCCGACCGAACGCGATTGCGCAGCCTGGAAGGTACGGAAAGTGGAAGAGAATAACAAAGGGGAATACCCTGTACTGCCCCTGCATTGGGGTAGAAAACAGCTCATTCCGCGAGATTGCGGAACCTCGGTCGATGATTAGATGAGAGGGCCTAATCGATGCGTGCTGGATGTCGTGCTACGGGCATTGGCGTATAAGGCCGTTCAGCTTCCGAAATAAGGCTCCTGACAAACCTGAAGGGAGCTTCACCATGAAAAAAAAATACACATTAGACCATATATAAATGTATATATATATATATATATATATATATATATAATATATATGGCGTGCTGCTGTACGTTGTGAGTTTCCTTTCCCTTTGCCCCTTTGCTTTTCCTAGTGGCGTTTTGAAACCGTTCTCTTTAATCCATTTGAAATATGTGCTTCTTCAGTTAGGGGGGTGCAACACGTTTCCATACGGGACCTTCTGATCTCGGACGTTAATGCCCTCGACAAGAAAGGGGTAGACGGCGCGAAATATCAAAAACAGGATCGATAATGTTCATTTTTAAAATTATTATTCAGTTCGGGGTGCCAGCCCTCAGCTGTGCAATCAAACCCATGCTATTTTATCACGCTTACACAATTCTCTTTCTTGGTATTATTATTTTTTTTGGTCACTGTAGAATAAACCGAAGCATTTTTTCCTTTCATAGGTTCACCTTCATCTTTCGTATTCAGAGGAAACGACCGAGTGCATCATGCCCTCCTCACACGACAATTCGAGCAACGCCGATCCCACAGGCGCCTCTCGATACAGAAAAAATATGTTGCACGACAGCTTCTCCGCCGCCGCCGTTGCCCTCACGAAGCTTTACCAGGAATCCAGCAACGCCTACGAGGATGGTTATCGCGATGCGTTGCTTTACGTTCACCGCTGCGTTTTGTTGACGTCGCGTGCATCGAGCGGGATGTTAAACAGCGGTGAGGCGTTCGTCTCTCCGGATTCGACGGTGGCTTCACAGAAGTTGTTGAATTTTATTCAAAAGACGTTGAAATTGCGCAAGGAGCGGGTTGCGTGTGCGCGGGGGACCGCGGAGGGGCGCTGTCGACCGCGTGATCACTCTTTGGTGGGGGAGGAGGATTCTCTTTCCCCTTCTATAGCCCCCACTCAACCCCTGCCAACTTTTTCAGAATCCCCCACCCTTTGGAATAGCGAACAAAACACCACCGCGGAGGGTGTTTCGGCGGAGGTGGAAACGAACAGAAGCAGCGATGCGCAGCCGAGCTCCGCCCTTCTCAATCTTCGAGAGGCGCATGCCTACGATATCGCGGAGATCGATCACGCGCGATCGGATGGATTGCCTCCGAGCACGGTTGATCATCCTCGTAGGCCCTCGCGAGCGCAGGAACCTCCCCCTACACGACCACGCTATCACAGCCCCGTGGATTACCACCGAAAATAACGTTCCAAGCGATCACGGAATCGAAAGGAAGGGAGAGGATGCGGTGGAGCATGTTTGGAGGATCCTAAACGAATTGTCTTCTACATTTTTGCCGCCTTGAAAGTGAATTGTGAAGATGATGCTGTTGTTGTTGTTTTTTGTTATGGGTGTCCGCTAGTACTGTTCCTTAACAATTCCGCTTACTTAGATCGTCAAGGGGTATTTTAGTATGCGCACGTTTATGGAAACTGTCGTTCTCTCGTCATTACCGACTTCACTAATGATACTCTTTGACGTTGGATTATTTTTTCATTCTGTTTTGTGATGTGTACGCTAGGGATGTTATTTTATAAGTAACAAAGCTAACATTAAAATAAAACAACGGGGGGGGGGAGGGGGGGATAAACTTAAGCCGATGGGAGCACCATGAGCTTCGATATTGCCACAAAGTCTTCCTCCACCCCCTCCCCTGAGGGGCGGAGTATGGAGTATCTTTAATATAAAGAAAACTTCGACTACGAGGGCAGGGTTCGCGTGGAGCAAAGTAGGGATGAGCTAGTAGTGGGGTATCGCCAATTCCTCGAGGAACGCCCTGAAATTGCGGAACTATCGAATCTCATGGTTCTACACCTCCTCAACCTCAAAACCGACAACCCCTTGCAGGAGCGGCGTTCTTTCATGCAGGCACGCTTCAATGTATGAAAAACACCCCACACGTGTTTTTTTCTCCTTTAGGTAGAGAAGAAGACAACCAACCCGGATGAAGAGCCAATACGCGAGGCGATCTGCGGACTTTTCGTGTGTTTATAGGAGTTGTCGGCGCCTGCGCTGGATTTTATGAAGGGCATCCTTCTAAATATGGATAATATCACCTTTTAAAGACTACATCTTGACGATTGTGTTAGACTTTACGGAGTCGATGGAAGGGACGACCGTGTGAGAAACTGATGATTGAGGTGCTCTGCTTCTGAAACGCAGGGGATGCGTTTTATTCTAAAACGGAGGATTGCCTGGTGTGAATGCAGTGTAAGGGATCGTTAAAGCGCAATGTTTCTCCATTAGTAGCACCGTTTATTGTGGGGTGTGATGTTTTAAAAGCGATGCGTGGGTGTTGGGGCGTGTGCTGCGATGTGCAACGCCGACGTGCGTGAGAGATAATCGATCAACTCCAATTTACTCAACATGTTCGATAGATTTTTTTCCCCACTGCTTCTCATCCATTTCATGCAAGAGCCGCTTGGTTTTGTCCAAGACCTTTGCGTTTATTACTCCCGCCAAGAAAGGCGTCGGGTTCCATTTGGTCGTGTACCTTGCGGACTTCTTCTGACGTCCTCACGTTCCTTTTGATGGTAGGGATTCTTCTTTTTCTTTATTACGTCCATCGAGCACTTTTCTTCTCTCTTTCCCAACCCCTTGCCTCTTTTTCTTTTCTTTTCCTTTTTCCGCCCTCCCCACTTGTATGACCATACCAAGAGAGTTACCACAAGGAACAGCTGCGCGTTAGCCTCTCGTGGAATCGGGTTTTTTTGTTCTCCCGATTTCTCTTTCCGTCCCCTCCAACAACCAACAACCAACCCACTCAAGAGGGGTGTGTGTGTGTGTGTGTGTGGCGCCGTCAAACATGGAGGACGCCGTGAGTCAAGAG